CATGAAATAAACTTGTACAATTTGTCATTTTGCACGGTAGAAAATTGTGATGCATGATGCACATTATTATGGAAAATGACATGTAAAATCATTATTGAGAGGCCATCAAAGAGAGGCTTAGCTTAGCCTCCCAAGATGGCAACATATGTGACATGTTGTCCAGGGCTCCCAGTAAGTTGTCATCTTGTACTGTAACCTCCAAGGTTCGCTTGACAAAACAGAATGTCAATATATAGTACCCTCTGGAGACATGGACGCAATCCCACGGCTATCTTTTTTGACTTGGAAGTAATTTAATGTTCAATGTGTAGCGTATATGCTACGCTTTCAGATACAAAATCAAAACAAATCAAAGCTTCTTTTAAAAACATGCAGACAGGTTTGTTCTATTTCAATAGAGTTAAGAATCCTTACCTGGAAATAAGTACTGGTTTTGATCCTTCGCCATCTATCAAGAATAAAAACTTATTATCACTTTACATATATACACATATTACACATAAAATATTGTTAACATTTTCAATATCAACAGACTATCATTTTCTGATCACAGAAAACGGCAATTCTTCATTTTAAGAGAGGTCCTGAATGAATGAATGAAATGTTGTTTTGTTTTAGTTTGTTCTAATTAAGGAAGGCATTGCGATAAAATATGAATAAAAGTCATTTCCAGAACAAGATGTTAGAATGACTTCACTGACTTGGCACCCATGGCTCGACTAAGCATTTTTTGTGAGAATTCATTTCTTCACTTTACAAGGTGTGTTTGGAAATAAATGATGAAGCAGCTTGTTTCATAGAACAATGATTTATTTTCCCCAAAACATAATATTCCCCTGAAACTGATACATGGCATTATTTTTTGATGGGGGAGCTTGATTAAGCACTCACCCCTTAAATTATTTTTGGAGCATAGTTCTTAGTTGGACCAGTAGAAGCAGGAAAGATGAATTGAATACAGATTGGTCATGCATGCATGCATACAAAGTCAGGGTTTGAAATATTGTATGTGTGTTTATGGTCACAAGTTCCAGTGTTACAAAAATGTTGGTTATCAGAAATGAGCTACTAATGGAGTGAATATGGCATATAGTTTTATTATGTGACACAATACGAGTGAAATAATGAATGAACACATTAGGCTAGTTTTAAGAGTAACAGTAGTAATGGTAATACAGAATTAAAAACAGAAAAAAATGTACATACCATACTCCCATGTTGTAGGTCAGGCTGAAAAGGCATGTTGCTCTCACCCACAAGATTGAGATTGTTGAAGGGAGAAGGAAAAAACTGATCAGGAGCTCGTCCAGAATTACCAACTACAAAAAAAAAGACAACACAATCACTATTATTTTAACGAGGAAGAGTAATCAAAGTTGTTGTATACATGTTAATTTTTAATATGATCAAACCTAATTAACATATAATCAAAAATCTCATCATATTGCAGTGCTCACTAAGGAAAACAATTAAATATTTGAACTATCTTTTGTATACCACATTTTGTATCATATGCTGTGGATAGCCACACTACAGTGATGGAAAAAAGATAACATTGTATCAACATAATGTATGTAGGTCACCCAAATTTTACAAGTGTTCCATCTGTCAAAGACATTCAAATTGACGAAAATAGCCAAGCTAGTGACATTATCTTCAACAAGAACCCCTGGCTTTTTCTGTTCAAGGAATATAGGACACAGACTACCAGACAATTACCCATCCCTGAGAGTAAACTACACAATCTCTAATATGAATGCTCTAGACTTTGACAGCTTACTAGTATTTGTGTTTGATACTTTTAACAATACATGTAGTCTAGTATGCACTCCAAAATCACACAAATTGCATTATTTTTCCTGCCTTAATATGTATAAAGAACAAAATAAATTATATGACACTTATGTTAATAATGCCCATTAATTGATGAATTTATCAGACCTTTTACCAAATAAAATTTGATAAATTTACAAGTTTACAAAAGTGCAAAAATGCTGTTTTTAAGAAGTTGTTCTTGTACGCTTGCAAAGGTAACATAGAAGCCTGCAATACAAACAATGTTCTCTACACAGCTGACGTTAGTAGTTGTTGTTATTAGTATCTCAGCATATTAAAGAATGCACATTTGTGATGATCAGAAAAAATAGCCACTACACTCCCTATCACTCTTATATGGAATTCAATGCTATCACATTCATGGTAGGATACATGGTTCTTCTAAGAGCAATATAGAGTAGAAACACTGACTTTATAATTTAAAATAAACAATAGAGCTTAATTATCATAATAGCATAGAAGTGATTAATGTACATGTACAATTGTGTATGTTACAAACTACTGTAAAATCATTTAATTTCACTAATTTGATTATTTGACTTGGCAGGAAAACAATGAGTTCTATCGTTATTTTACACGTTCACCAGAATTTAATTTAGCAGATTATGAATTAGTTTTAAATTATTTCATACTGAATGTTCCTGCAGCAAAAATTTCATTTTGGCATGTTCAAAGTGTGTTGGTCGGTTTGATGAATACACAATTTTGCCGATAGTTTGTTGAAATTTATGTTAATATTGATATAATACTTCGAAGAATAAAGATGTAAGTTGTAACAAGAACAATGTTGTGTTTTTCATTTTGTACAAGGTCCATTGCAGTTTCAACACCGAACGCATAAGTGTAAGGCAAGTTTCTGGCCAAATTACAAGTGAATTGAGTAACATTGTCACACAAAATGTGTTTGGTGGTTAGAACAACCAGTTTCAAAATTGGTTTTAAGGTACTTTAATTGTATTTTAATATTAAATAGATTACAAAATCGTCAAAATCCATAAATAATGTCTGTGTTTGCTGATTTTAATATGGCTGACAACACATACGCATGTGCACTGACACTAAAATCTGTAAGTTAATTATATGCACGCCTATTTTGGGTCACAACACAAATGGTATAAATTTCAAAATACATATCGGAAGGTATCAATAGTTATTTACCTGCTACAAGCATTAGTACAATAGATTGCATGGTGGCCACCAACACATAGCCAAGCGAGAACAGACACTACTATCTTTTATATTTTAGTTTTTTTTCCCATCAGTGATAACCTTCCCAGGTTTGAATACTAATATTGAAAGTGAAGTTGAAAATTAGTTAATCCATAGACCCTCTTTTAGAGGTTCTATGGTTTATCAGGTCATTTTGTGTTTTGACGCCCCCAGTCTGACTATGTAAACTTTCCAGTGTTTGTGGCAGAACAGTAGGGGTGTTGGGGTTTACATTAACTGCTAGAAAATAAATAATGAAATTTGAAGTCTATCATAATGCTAGTTAGCTCAGACATCCATGACTTGAGAATGCCATCCATCATGGTCAAGCATCAAAATCAAAGGTCTTCTGGGAGGCATCTGGTGTCTGAGCATAGTTGGTCAATAAATGATTTTGCTGAATGACTCGCATTGGTGCAGATGGGTCTAGGAGCCTAGAATCAAAAAGTGGCTTGTAAGCCCTTGTTTTGCACACAGGTAGTGTCCCATGAAACACATGTATCCATGACAGAAGATTTCTAAGGTTGGCAGATCAGCATTATAATAGCTTCTTTGTAGGATGCTTTCCTCATGAGATGTTGACAGCTCTAAGCATTAACAACACACACAATTTCATGCTGTACTTTCTATGTCATTAGTAAATGTAATATTGAAATCATTTTTCAAAATATACCAAGATGAATCAGTAAAAATTATGTAACATTATGATATTTATGAGAAATGTTAACTATTTATTATTTTCCATTCTCAATTATTGTGACACTCAATCCAGAGAGCACCCACACATTACACTGATAGAAATATTTGATATCCAAGGCATCATAGAATTTAGTTAATACATATACCTAAAGTCTATAGTTAATATTAAGGAAATTATATATTGGCCTATTTAAGGACATGTATACAACATGTAAAAATTTAATTGTTTTGTAATTTAAATCTCACAGATATTGTGAAGTCTAATGAAGAGGAGAACACACAGAAACATGAAGCACAGCATGCCAATTGAGAAGAAAAAAATCATCGAAATGTCAAAATATGGCACCCAATGCAACTGTCACAATGTACAGTATTGACATTATGTGAAATAAATAATGGAGTTTATATCTGACAGCTCTCGGTTTAATACAGCCATTTTAAACAAATGATCAACATTAACTCATTTATTAATGATTTAACAAAGAAACTGGGGGAGGAAATAAAATAGATTTGTATGAAGTTTCGAATATTTGCGTAAATAAGCTAAGTCGACACGACATAGCGAATCAATAGTTCCGTTCTACTAACAGAATTGACAAGAGTTTATTTTTAGATCAAAGGAGATCCTATCGTAAACGATTTCAATATGTGGTGTTGAATTTGATTAAATGCTAATTAAATCATAGATACTTACTGCTTCTCGGCGATCTATCGGGAATTCCTTGTTTCATTTGATTTTTCACAGCTGGAGAAATGGCAGTAGTCAAATTGGGTACCCGATCGCTGTGCAGAAATTGGCAATCGTCGCCGTAAAAACATGTCCGATTATTCGCCCAGTAGCGACAAATGGCCATCTTTTTTGGCCCAGGGACATTACTGTTCATCGCTAGAAGTTATAATGATGCTATCTTCGCCTGCTTTCAGACATGAACTTGGTATTTTTGAAGCATTTTTTCGTGCAGACAACCCTCTTCCGACGCAAACATTTTCGAAAACTGTCGAAGCTGTTTTTATTGTGAAAGTCCCAACGCTGCGCGCGCATCACCTCATCCTCGACCGAGGACTTTTCTTGTTACGGTAAATGTAACGTTTCGTACAATGCTTTGATGAAGTTGGAACTGATATCCAGTGTCAACACTATTAATCATAACACAAACTATAATAATAATTGCTTCTACTACCTTGGCTACGAGACTCCATTGCCGTCTTTGGTAGCATGTACCTCAAACGTGTACAGGATTCATACAAATCCAGCAAACCTGCCTGACCTTAAAGCGAGATTTTGAAGGAAGTTAGGGGAGCGTTAAATTTGAATACCGGGAAATTTGAACTTTGTTGGTGTGAGGCCTCTGTATTTGGTCCTTTGTTGACGAGAGCAAGCGCGGGACAGTTTAAAAATCCCCTCGGAGTACGGTACTAGTAGGGAGAATGTCAGATATTGATGATCTTTTTCATCGCGTTAGTAAAAAGCTTGGATGGTCAGTTGATTTGGAAAAACCTAAGTCTACCGAAGATGAACTTGTCGATACCAAGGTAATATCTCGTTTCTGTACATCTGATCTATCGCCCCCAATCGTCAAAGTTTTAAACTATATTAACTTTTAAAAATGAAGATATGATGAAAGTGTTTGTTCAGTATATTAGCGCTAACTGCTTAAAAATACCAAACTCAATTGTATTGTGTCAACACTAGAAATCTGTGCCTTTAGTTTATAAACATATTACAATTTATAAAAAAAAATTGTAAATACAAATCCTCAGTTTTCGTTCAATTTCAAATATTTATAGTGATTGGCTCGAGAGCTCAACATTGGCTATGCCCACAATGCACGAGTATGCGAATGCTATTAGTAATGACTATCCAAAACAAAATAAAATACAAACAATGGCCGAGATACTTCACAAAGTTGTAAAACAAAAATCCTTCCAGTAAAACATTGATCAAAAATATAGCACATGACATTCTAAATGAATCAATTACTGAAAATGACATTTTAGCTGTTTTAAGGTAGCGAGAAGGTTTTGTGACGTTTTTGAATAAAACATTCTCTGTCTGTTGTCTCGTTCAGAACAGTAATTTAGCTTATATATTTCAAAAGACTATGTATAGAGGTACAAGTTCGCACAAACTGGACAGTCATTGTTTACATAATTATCATGTGACATCAAAAATGGCGAACCTTGTAAAAATGACTAAGTCTGCGATTGCGAGAGCACACTGTGAAATTTCCTGGTGAAATTTACGTCATGCATTGTCCGTAATCAAGTCCATTGAAATGCGTCTCCGATAATCAAAAGACCTATTATTCCGATTTCTTTGCAGGTTTGTTTTTTTGTCCCCAAATTATTTCATACTTGGCACCTTTAACAGACTATTATTCTGTGACAGAGCATTTTC